CCCCCCTCCTCCTCCTCCTCCTAGAAAATATTAAAATCTAGAAGTTTGTAAATGCAATTCCCATCATAAATTTCATTATGAAAGGCTTGCTGGCGTTTGGAGATTTTGCCTCACACCCCCACCCCACCGAATCAAAAATTAAACGGTCCGTCCTTAACCAGTACCAGGCTTCACTCCCAAGGGACCCCCAGCTAACAACTTCTCACAACGATACATCTCAAAAAGCCGAGTAAGTGCACTTGTTACCTATTATCGCCTTGAAATTCACAAAGATAAGCTACTAGCGAAGCCCCAGTAAAAAGACATGGCTTCTGCTACTCCTTCCGAGGAAGATATTGTCAACAGATTCGACGGGTTCGTATTAAACATTAGATACCTTTAGCCATCATCAAATGTTTTCACTTTCGTTTTCAATCATTAGGCAATCTGTTCTTCATTAATTTCTTTCCCTTTTTTTAATCAGCTGTAACAACTCACCTGGTTGTTTCGAGGAATCGAGGTTTGAGAGTCACATAAAGCAAGAATACTTATGTCCAGTGGGAAAAGGTGTTTTAAATAATCCAAAGAAAGTACCCTGTTGTGGCCAAGTATTTTGCCATTTTTGTATCAAGAATTCTACACCATATATTGAAAACGACCAAGGCAATAATCTACAGCAACAGAGCTTAGCAATCCCGAATTATCAAACTTTAAAGTGCCCCCTCTGTCGAAAAGAATTTGAGGCAAATAAGCTTGATGATGTCTGTTTAAACTTCAAGACGTTGTTGAACGAGCTGCGTATAAAATGCTCCTTTGAAGAATGCAGAAAAGTCATATTACTGGAAAATATGCTTCACCATCAGTTTGGTTGCGAGTGGAATCCGGAACGAAAGGTATCATGCACTGATTGTAACAAAGAACTTCCATATTCATCTTTAAAGGATCATTTTTGTAATGACCGAGTCTTGAGAAAATATGCTGACGTCGAAAAGAAGACCCAAGAAATAAAGCACGAGGCAAATAAACAGGAAAAAATGCTAGAAGAACTCCTCGAATAAAAGACAAAAATTCTCATGGCATTTTATATTTTACCGTTATGATTCGCTAGGTTATGATTAAAAAGGGTTAAAATCTTATAGCGTTGTTTAACTAACTCATTCCTAAAACCGGAAGTAAAACATTGTTATTTGCTTATATTATCACCCTATGGTGGATAATGGTGATCTAGGAATACTTCACTGGCTATCCACTGGCTACATTAAATAAGGTAAAAAGTAGTTTCTACATAAAGATTGGAAACCTACGGTAGGTAGAGGTGAATGTATTTTAAAATGATAAGGGAAAGTTCGTGACTAAGGTAATTTTCATAAAAGTACGTAGTTTGTTTTATAGATGCGATAAGTCCTTAATTTGCTCTTGTGCTGGGGTTTCTTTCTTGAATCATTGTGTACATTACCCAGCCAAGTCTGAAATTCTACATCCCTTATTCTTTGTTTCAACAAGCTTTCAATTGACTTACGATCAATATCAGGATCACTTTGGTTGTCTTTACAATATTTCTCCTAAGCCTATATAAGAGGGTGGTTTTAATTTAATTTCCCCAAAAAATTTGGTACCCCCCCCCCCCCCCCGCATATTAAAATGAACTTTCCCTAAGTATTATTACTATTCATGCCTGATTTAATGACTCACAAAGTGTGTCCCAAAGAGAACTCTAGTAAAAAAATGTTGTCAGTCGTAGTAATGTTCAGTGACTTGTTGTCTCTGTAATCAGTAAAGCAAAATTCTGTTATATTGAGATTGGATTGGATCGAGGAACTTTGTGAAAATACTTTTCTTAGGTAAATACATGTATAATAAAAAACTGATGATCAGTATCACTGATGATCAGTATCAGTATAATAAACTGAGCAAAATTAAAGTAATAGTATATATATATACAATATAAGGCTGATCTGCATGCCTTAAAGGTCAACCTTGTAAAGCCCATACACTGTACTATGGAGATCACTAAGAGTGGTAAAACACTCGTTGGAATGCACATCTTGCGTTGACAGAGTTATGTATCATGTGATGAGATTTTTGTGTACCATTTGTGTATCATGTTTGAGTAGCATGCATTTGTAGTAGTGTTTAATAGAGGAAATGGATTTTGATGCACATAAGCAGAGATGTTAATAATAAGTTTACTAATGCAAACTTGAGCATGCACAAAAGGTAAATTACGAGCCTTAGATGAAACAACTGAAGAAGAGTGCCATACACGCCTTTTACAACTTCAAGTTGCGTAAAAAAATGAGCCAGCTCAAYGGGAAACCGTGGAAAGCTGTTTCAGCCTGTATTGGGCCTTGTCAGCACATGGTGTATCTAGTGAGCTGGCAATCCCACAAAAATGCAAACTTGGACTATTGCCAGGATTATCTGAAGACTACATCAACTAAGTTGGTCCATTCAAACTGACATTTTTCRTTGAAAGCAGTGTTTCCTTCTATGAGTGACAAGCGTAATTATTGCCACTCACACCAACTGTGCTCATTCTCATGTGACACACAAAAAATCTTATCATGTTGTACATAAACTTACCAGCATCAGAYGTGCATTCCAATGCACCTTTTAGCATATCTTACCATATTTACTTTTTTTGCCATTTTTCTATTTTACCATATAATTTTTTACCCATTTTACCATATATAGATTTGGTGTATAACTTATAGCATGGTAATAAATGTGATCAAGTCATAGTAAATCTTCCTTGAAAACTGGGGTTTAGACTTTTATGGTTATAATGTTAATGTTTTGAAATTGTCTTTTCAGCTTTTTAATTATATTTGAATAAGTCATATCATAAACTGATCATTTGATGATGGCCATCTTAATAATAATAATAACAATAATAATAATAATAACAATAATAAATTTAGTAATAATAAATTTAATAATGATAATAATAATAATATATAACAGACACGACAGAATGCTGAAACCGATATACCAGTGTTTGCTGGAAAAGTACAACTTTCAAGAAAGCGATAATGGAAAGCCATGGTACCAACAAAGTCTACCATCAGCAGTACTTCAAAACGAAAAGGCAAAAATACAATGGAATGTACCCTTTCAACTTGAGAAAGCTCCAGAAATAAACCCAATAAACCCAACATAGAACATAAAGACACTAATTGCTTGGACACTACTACGATGCCAGAAATGGATTTTAAGCCAGAACATTAATATGGTCAAGAAGTTTTATGAATATGCATTAACTGAATAGTCTCCCTCGCAACCGTTTTTAGTGTCTGTCGTCACTCAACGGAGCGTTGCGTGACGACCGACACTGAAAACAGATGCAAGGGAGACTATTAACTGAAGAAAGGATCGTAAAAATGATGAACTTAACCAGCCTAGACTTAGTCCGCTGGTCAATGTAAACATGATATATACAGACAAATAAAACTTGCCATAATAATAACTAATAATAATAAATAATGATAATGATAATGATAATGATAATGATGATAATGATAATGATAATGATAATGATAATGATAATATGCAAAATGTCCATGCTTCAAAGTGCCAAAAATGAGATATAACAGAATAAGCAGAGGGGAATAGCCAGGAATTTCTGAAGGGAGGACCAAATTCAAAAAAATGCCATATTGTTTATTGAGCTCCCAATGAAAATGCCAAATAAAAAAATGAAAACTTAAAGAAGCCTGCATTAAGTTTTACGCTTCATTTTTTAATGAAAAAAAAGAAAATTTAAAAAATCAACTCATAAATTCTAAAAAGCCACCCTGGCCCCCTTGCCCACCTGCCTAAGCCCCTGATAAAGTTAAGCAATGCCCATCTGCCTAAGCCCCTGATAAAGTTAAGCAATGCCCACCTGCCTAAGC